TCAATCCAAAGCATACAAGCTATATAACCCTCTTAGTGGCAAAGTTATTATCAGCAGAGACGTCATTTTCCATGAAGATGCTTGTTGGGATTGGGAGACCAAGCAAGATGATTCATATACTCTCTTTCCGCTGGACTCAAGTGATGCAGATTCTTGTGAGAATTCACCACAGAACAGCCCCACCAACTCACCAAATACTACTCCAAACTCTACTCCTCCAACTACGCCTCACACCTCACCAAACACAAATACACCTGCCTCGTCAAGCAGCTCATCATCTCTCGAAACAACACCTCCACGAGGCCATAGGTCTCTAACTGAAATATATGAGAGATGTACTTTTGCCTTTATGGTTGCAGATCCTAGTCGATTCCATGAAGCTGCCAGAGAAGAAAAGTGGCAAAAGGCAATGAAGGAAGAGATTGGAGCAATTGAAAAGAATGGCACTTGGACGCTTGTAGATTTGCCGGAAGATAAAAGTGCAATTGGCTTGAAGTGGGTGTTCAAGACAAAGTATAATGCGGATGGGAGTGTGCAGAAACACAAGGCTCGGTTGGTGGTCAAAGGGTATGCACAACAGCAAGGCATCGACTACGAGGAAACGTTCTCTCCTGTTGCTCGCTTTGAAACGGTGAGAATGTTTTTGGCCTTGGCTGCTCATCTTAAGTGGCCTCTCTATCAACTTGATGTTAAGTCTGCGTTTCTAAACGGAGACTTGGAGGAGGAAGTCTATGTCATGCAGCCGGAAGGATTTGTCGTTGAAGGAATGGAGGATAAGGTTTATCGGTTGAAGAAAGCCTTATACGGATTGAAGCAAGCTCCGCGAGCATGGTACAGCAAGCTCGACTCATTTTTCCAACAAAATGGGTTTTACAGAAGTGCTAATGAGCCTACGTTGTATGCAAAGAAGGGAGGTAAAGGTAGTTTGCTCCTTGTTTGTGTATATGTTGATGATATCATCTATATGGGATCATCTTACTCTATTGTTCATGAGTTCAAAGAGAGTATGATGAATATGTTTGAGATGACAGATTTGGGGCTGCTTAGTTATTTTCTTGGGTTGGAAATTAAGCAAGGAGAAGATGGAGTGTTCGTCTCCCAGAAAAAATATGCCGAGGATCTTCTCAAACGCTTTAATATGAAAAATTGCAAAGCTGCAATTACTCCCATGAATATGAATGAAAAATTGCAGCAAGAAGATGGAACAGAGAAAGCTGATGCAGTAAGCTTTCGTAGTCTGGTTGGAGGTTTGATTTATTTAACGCATACGAGACCCGATATTGCCTTCGCCGTTGGTATGGTTTCCCGATTTATGCACAATCCAACACGTCAACATTATGGAGCTGCAAAAAGGATTCTACGCTATATAGCTGGAACTCAAGATTTCGGTATTTGGTACTCAAATGTTGATAAATTTGAGTTGGTTGGGTTCACGGACAGTGATTGGGCAGGTTCCGTGGATGATAGGCGAAGTACTTCAGGCTTCATTTTTAATCTTGGGTCAGGAGCTGTGACGTGGAGCTCCAAGAAGCAAGGTGTAACAGCACTTTCGACAGCAGAGGCAGAGTATGTGGCTGCTACTTCTTCGGCATGCCAGGGAGTATGGCTGAGAAGGCTTCTAGCTGACTTGGAGCAAGAGCAGACGAAGGCTACTGAGATTTTTTGTGATAATCGATCAGCTATTGCGATTGCAAAGAATCCGGTTATGCATGGGAG